GCTGATGGTGGTGGCCTTGCAGGCAGAGGATCAAACCAGGGCTCAAATGCCAGCTGTCAGGGGAGCTGTCTGGGAACACAGCCTGCTAGCACCTGTGACCTTTGGGAAGCTGGATTTGGACTGTGGGGCAGAGGAACATCCAGGAAGTTGGATGTGGGCCCAGTCCCTCCTGCTAGGTGGTTCCAGGAGACCCGAGAGAGGCTCCTGGAGTGGTGGGCAATCCTGCCTGTCCCTCCACACTCTTCAAGTGTAAATCTGATCTCGTTTAAAACGCTTCAAAGGCGCCCGAAAGCCAAACCTCTAACATGGCACGTAGGCCTTCCTTGGCCGTATCTCTCGTCTCACCTCTCTCACTCTTTACCTCAAATTCCGTGGCCTAGCCACACTGAAGCTTCAGGAAGCTTCCCAAACTGACTTTTTCATGCTTAGATCAATGGCCCCAGCCCTTTTTATCCTGGCTAACCTCTCCAACCTGTCCTCCGTCTTAGGTAAGATTTCACTTTACCCGAGAAGCCCTTTACTGACTCCACGCCACCCCGATTTGGGCTGTTTCTATGTGCTCCCACCTCACCCTGTGCATCTTAGTAATTACTGTACCATGTGCTGGAACTGCCCACTGACTCACTGAGCTCTCCCACTCGACACTGAGCTTCTTGAAGGCCTGAAATATTATCTCTGTATCCCCAAGAAGCCTGTGAAGTGCCTGCTATATAGTGAATGTTCACTAAATCTTTAACGAGAACCAGATGAAATCAGGTGGGTGCTTCGTTAACAATTACTCTGTAGTTTTCTCCATATAAAACATGAATACCTTCTTAATGCATATACGACTTTGGAGTTAGTTAGGACACCTTAGCAACCACTTACTTAACCCATGAAGAAATTGGAACCTGGAGAGGTGACATGACTCTTCCAGCAACCACCGAGCTAGTCTACGGCCCGGTCAAGTGTGGGATCTACCTCCTGATTCCTCCCTCTTCACAGCATAATTCCTTAGGTTCCTTTTTATCATGTAGTATCCGTGCTGCACTTGCAACTTTTAATGATATATATTCCTTGAGCACTAGTACTCTGTTCTTTGATGTAATACCTTACAGGTTTTGATCTCCAAGGAAATCTGACAAAGGTGCCTTAGTATTTACCAAAAATAACACTGGAATTTTTTTTCTCCTCTTACCATAAGCCATCTATGTTCTGTATGATACTGAATAATGATGATATACCCCAGGTTCTCAGGATTGCATGTAACCATCTTCTGTTGACACTTACATCTTCCTTCCAGTTTTGGACCTGTAATCAAGCGTATGGTATATAGAAATTGGTGGGAAGACCTAATTTAGGCACTTAGTTTTGAAGCCTATCTTTAATCATTTAGCAAGTGCAACTTGCAAAGACTTTTAATGCCTCTCCCATTAACATAAAACTCATCAGCATAAAATACAGATTTCCCCATTTCTTCATGGAAAGTTCTGAGAGAAATGGAAAGAAAATCTCTAAATAGCCCCAAATAAAATTTTTAAACAGCCCTAGATAAACACACAGAGGGAAAGATGATCAAAATTTAAATACTGGTACACATTAAGCCTTCTGAGCAATCAAGACTAGCATCTGGTAATGGCTATTTCAGAATAACTGCTTATCAGAGGCATCAGAGGGTCATGAGGGAAAGATGCTATTTATGGCCATGAACCAAACTGGCTCAAAAGCGATCAAATCAGTATATTGACTCTAAAAGGCACTATATTCCTAACCACCAGGAACGGGAAGATCATGGTCAGATGGGAGAAATGCCTCTGAGTGAGCCAAGCTGAGTCTCAGGCCTGCTGCCACCAATAGGTTGTTCACGTGTAGCAAGCACTGAAATGCGAAACCAGAAAACCCAATAAAGTTACTTGAGGATGGCTGCTACTTACCACCTCTAATGGACTGTGCAAGAGTACAGAACTAGGCAGAACGGGTAACAGAAATCCAGAAAAGTACCAGAATGAAAAACTAGAAAAGCAGAAAACAAAGATGGATTTCCCTCAAAAAAACCACTTATGTAGAGAGACTGTCCTGCATCACTGGATCACCTCTCCACTTTCTAGGCTGTGCCAGAGTTCCGTGAAGTTGATCACAATAGCCAATTCAGACACATTCTACCTACAAACCTGTCATGTATTTTATTACTGAGATACTGACATCAAAATCATTTTTCAAAATAGACATATTTAATATTTTCCAAATGGCAAGGTAAGTTTATGTGTGCTCAGACAGGAGTATGTGTTTAACACGGTTTAGTAGCATCCTATGTAATTAATGTGTTCAAATTCTCTAACTGGGAATATGTAGAATTATTTTCAAATATCTACTTTTCTGCTTTTTAAGGGCACATAAAAGATTATTTGCAAGGCATAATGTATGCTTTGCATGATTAATACCTCCCCCCATCGTTAATTTTTGTCATATTTAGAAATTTAAGACCAGGAGCAAACATCTGTCAGACTAATTTTTTGCTTTTTCATAAGTGCAACTTTTTAATAAAAATTTACATCTAGATAAACAATCTTCAGATTTTTGAAACTTTAATAAGATTTTAAAAACATCATGACTTTGAACTGAAAAACATACACGTTTAGCACACAAATATTGTAATATGAATAAACTCCAACTCCGTTTGAAAACATGTGACTCAAATTACAGTTTTAGAAGTTAGTAATTCACATTTAAGCAAGTTAGCGCCTTGCTGAATTCAGCCTTTGTAAAAAAGAGACTTAGTGCATATTGTAATGGCACAATGTGCTTTTGTACCATTTTGTTGACTTTTTTCACCTTATTAAACAAGATCAAGTTCTTGAAAGTTGGTAGATCACGGCTAACTTCCTATGACATGTGAAATTTCCAATGGTAATACAGTTACATTTTGTAACAGAACGCTTTATAGATTTCTTTTCCTATCTTACAATTTTAAAAGCAATCATTTGTAAGGATTGCATCAACGTCAATTTAGCAGAGGAAGATCAAACTTTATTGAAACTGCTTGCATACAAAATATATTGCACTATAACCAAACAAATGTCAACATAAAATCCAATCTGTTGTTGCTAATATGTACAGAGAATATTGCCCAAGAGCAGTTACATTACAAGGTCATTCTACCTTGGTTAATTATCTACAGTATTTTAAACCAAACAGCTTACAGATGATGTGTGCAAGGTACCAATTTCTGTTTTCAAATACTATACATTCCCAGAATAAATAACTAGAAATCAACATTAATGTTTGGCAATACTTTTAAAAGACTTTTTAATATTCTTGAAATCATGTGCAGTTTGTTGCCATTTTTATATGCTTATTTGTATGCAAGGAAAAGTAACCGTAAAATGAAAATTCAAAGAAACAAACCCACAAAATACATCAGAGGCAGAACTTCGGTTTGTACGGCTCTGTACAGATTCAGTGGTACCCCTACTTGGAGTTATTTTTTAAGAAAAATATAACATCTTAGAGTGAAGGTCCTTCACATATTTTTCCTCTGTAAATCTTGTTCATAAGAAAAAAAAAAAAAAAGAGAGACTCAAACCCAAAATCCAACACGTCAAAAAACTAAAGAAAAAAAGTATCATTTGTTAACCAATCCTAGTCTGCTTTCCAATTCTGCTTATACATTTGGACCTAATATTTCAAAGTTTACAAAACACTTAACCTGCTTCCGTTGTTTCTTAGACGAAGTACCTGTACTTCACAGGATTATTATGCACACATGGAAATGACCTTCTTATCTCCCCCCAATAAGCTTGAAATTAAAGTATGAAAAACTTCACAAAACATGGGGAGGACAAAATAAAAACAGCTCTAATTTAAAACTGGTCATCAGGCCAAAGAGAAGGCATATCCTACTAACTTTTGACCAGGAAGATTTGCTCCTAGCTGAAAATGTTTTAGCCTCTCTCAAATGAAAAGACAGTTATTTCTTCTCCTGTCTATATAGAAAAATTACACATCCCTCTCAATAACACTATTTGTCAAACTTCAGTGCAACAAAACAAAAACAAAAACAAGTCTTATTCTTTATACTGCCTAACCTGATGTTTATGTAAGAAAAAAAAATATGGAAAGCATGCATTCTTCTATAAAGTACTAATGTTTGACAGGGTTTGCTACATCTTTTAACATTTAGTGTTTCCAACTTATCTTCCCTGAACTCTGCATCCAAATATAATATTCCTACCTGCCAAGATATAAAAAAGGCACAGATCATACAACTTTTTTTTTTGCTAATGAAAATGACAAACGTCACATCACACACATCTCAGGGTCCACTAAAATACTGGAAAAGTGGACCAAAACATAAACTGACACAGGACATGAAATGTCATTGGCCTTCCGTATGAGACTGAAAACAGAAGTGTAATATGATTACCATAAATGCTATTTATTCAGAAAAACTGAAATGTACCAGTGAGTTATCACCCAACGCAGGGTAACGGTCCAAATTAAGAAAGAATACCACTGCTTGGTATTTAAAAAATAAACCAAACGAAAATCCTGTCCTGAAGTGCTAAGTATACTTAATTACTTAAAAGTAATGTTTCAGGGGCTTCTCTGGTGGCGCAGTGGTTGAGAGTCCGCCTGCTGATGCAGGGGACACGGGTTCGTGCCCTGGTCCAGGAAGATCCCACATGCCGCGGAGTGGCTGGGCCCGTTAGCCATGGCCGCTGAGCCTGCGCACCTGGAGCCTGTGCTCCGCAACGGGAGAGGCCACAACAGTGAGAGGCCCACGTACCACACACACACAAAAAAAGTAATGTTTCAAAATTTTAAGATCTGTTTCTTTGTGCAAATCTGGAAACTGTTGCTTACGGCCAATATGACAAAAAATAAAATTCTTAACAGAATTGGTGTTCATTTCATGCCCTGTGCCACCTTGCCTACTATTTGTCTTTGGCCTAACAAAGTTTCTAATATGGAATAAGAATTACGGAAATGGTATAGGGAATATAACTCCAGAATTATGCCGTTTAGGGTACTCCATTCACAAGTGGTTGCTGACCATCCACGCTGTCTGGCTTTTCCTTCTTCTGGTTACGATCTTTACCCGTACGCAGCCGGTTACCTTCACCGGAGGTATTCTGTAATGTTTTAGTGTGGACACTCCTTTCATTATTGCAGTCAACTCTGATCTAAAACAAGTTACAGTTGTTATATACACAGACCATATCCTACTGTAATCTGTAATTGGCCTGATGAAAAATTTAAGCCCGAAGGGTAAATTCCACATCTTAAAAGGGGGATATGGGGGTGAGAATAGAAGAAGTGTAAGAAATTATGGTCAGGTAGGATCTTTATTTGGTTTCTGATTTAAAAACACTCTTCTTTAACTGGAACACACTGGTCATCTCACTGTGTCCAAAGTTAGATGAAAACTCACAATCCTACCATGTCTTCTTCTAAGCTTTAGTTGACATCTTTATGTCTATCATGAGTATAATTAAGTTTCCTTACACTGAGGGCTCCCACTGTCTTACAATAAAAAAAAATACTAGCTTTGGTTTCTAGTAGCTTCAGTAAGGCTACTTACTTGCCTTCAGTAAGGCAAGTCAGATGATCATACAACTTGAACTCTAAAGAATAAGAATGGTACAGGGAAATTTGAAGACACTAATGTGTGGAAGAACTGGAATCTCAGGAAGAGTGTAGAGATGAATACAATTTAAAAAATAATATTCTGAGATTTACACAATATTTTAAGTGCCAATACTGAACACTTAAACACTGCTAAATAGACTTCTAGATGCTGTACAAAAGGAAGATAATATTGACAAATGGGCCTAAAACAATTACAAATATTGATCTGCTTCAAGTACAAGTGTGACATATAATCCCAAAATGGTTTGCTGTAATTTCAAAGTGTGTTTAAGTGTTAGTCCTGGGTGACTGTTTTAACTGTTGGGTTGTGAAGAGCGGAATTATAAAACTGGTACATAAATGCCTTACATCTCTGTTAGGCACATGTGTGTGCATTATTTCATCGATCTCTATCTACGTCTAAGGTCTTTTCTATGCTGGTCCTTAAGAACCAGCCAACGGTTAACACCTACTTAAAACCGCTATGAATTCTAAGAAATACTCCATCATGGAGTTTCTGCCCTTAAAAATCATCTCTCACTAATCTTGGGTATTGGTCCCAAACCAAACCATAGGCATGAAGGAACCCTAACTACTTGGATTAAGTCTTCAGAATTAAAGAAGCAGCAGAAGAGAACACGGGTTCTGGGAATCAGATACCAGTATTCAAATATCACTCTACCGTATGCCAGCTATGTGATTCAATCTTCCTAAACATCAGTTTACTCACCTATAAAACAGAATAATAAAACTTTTTACACTTCAGGGGGCTGCTGAAAGATTAAGTAAGATAAAACACACACAGAGCACTCAGCAAAGGTGTCTGTCTGGACACGCTCAGGGGTAATTTTCAAATTACTTAACAATGGGTTCGGCACAGGTGATTACCACTTGAGATGGGCTTCTCAGAATAGAGGCTGGCTGTAAATAAGCAGCTGACTGATTCAGCATGTACCAGCTGAGTGTCATCAGCCCTGTGTATCATGATTATTACCCTTGAGCCAGACACCTTTTTTTCCCTTACTTTCCACTCAAAGAGGACACTCTATCCAGGCAACTCAGGGGAGGAGGGACCCACAGGGCCGACGCAAGTCTCTCTTGGTTCATTCCTGGATGTTTCTTTTCTTGGGCAGTTGGTGGGGGGGTGGGGGGGCGGTTGGACCACCATTGTGGTATTGAAGTCACACTGTGGCTGCAAAGTCTTCAGAAATACTGAGACTGCATATTCTCTCGAGAAATCTTCTTTGTATACTTGTTGCAAAGGACTAAGACTGCCCACAAATGTAGTGTTGAAAGGAAAATATTTCAATGTACCAAATTCACAACCTTTGAACATGCTTAAAAATCAAGTAAAATAAACTCATACATCTCAAAGTACTGTAACTCAAACAATTTAGATGGAAAGAGGCACACAGGTTTACCTGGAGGGATCCATCTGCGGCTCTTCCTTTAGCCTCTCTTGGATTACGTGGACGATTATCTGTTCGGGAGTGATCATCGTTTCCTATAGGGACGTTTTTAAAAGGTTCGATGGTCACTGATTCTGACATGCTTATTGGAAGTTCTTTGTTCCCACATCCTCAATTTATTTAGATCCACCCCAGAATCTAACATAGGATCAACAACCTAGTGATTCCAGTTACACACTGGCTAATAATCTAGCATGCTACCAAGGAACAGAAACTATTTCTAAGGCATCACAATTCTGCATCAACTGTTACAGGTCAACCTGAGCTAATGATCAGATTGTGATGTTTAGAATACCCAAAGAGGTGAAACTAGTTATCAGTGTTTATTCATATATTTATTCTATGTGAACCAGAGGGAAAGGAAGGCTGTCTAATATTGCCAATTGCATGAGCCTTTCCCATGGTGACCAGTACAAAACCAGAGAAATGGGGGTCTTGGTAATACATCACTGAATCAGCAAGGTTCTTCACAGAACTTCAGACAGCTGTTACAACTGACCTTCATTTCTTGACAAATGAAAACCTCCGTACCTTTGAAGCCACCTCCGCGTCCTCTTCCTCCCTGTCCTCTTCCTCCACCTCCACGCCGTCGCCCGTCTCCTCTGCGCAGGAAGTTCTCCCTCTCTTCCTCTGTTGGAGCTAATGACCAATCACTGAGTTCATCTCTGTGGTCAGATTCTGTTTCAGAAGCATTTGATGCTTCAGAATTAGTTCCTATCGAGAGTTAAAAGTTATATACCGTTGTCCGACTTAAAAAAAAAAGTTAGGTTAACAGAAGCTTCCAGAGACGTTTCAGGGGTAATCCATTACTCTTCCCAATTTATAAGCCCACCAAAGAGTATTATCACCTTCCATTTTGTAAAACAAATTATCTTAAATTCAAAATGAAGGTTTCAACAATATTTGAGGTAATTTTTTTTTTAAACATTTTTGGTTCTCATTAAACCAAAAAGATTTTATTAGCCATCTAAGTTCAAACCTGAGTATGCCACATCATTAAACAGCTGTGCTCCTTTAAACATCTGTGCTCTCTGGAGGAAAAGTTGTCTACAACAGTTAAATGCAATACCTTGATCAACAAAACCTCTATAAAGAGGGTTCCTTTTAACAAGGTTTGGCCCAGGCACAGAGGGGAATGCATACATTTTGGTCACCTCAGAGAGGGTGGCAAAGGTGGCCACCATGGCTACTATCTCAGGGAAGGGTCTCTTGTGTGATAAGGGGTTGGACCTAGCTGAATGGGGATATGCTTGCCTGATGCTTGGTCCACAACCTTCCCTCCCACTCCCACTGGAATAATTGATCATTATAAAGGATTTATTGTAATGAACTTGTTATGCCTGAGGGGCTGGGTTAATGACATAAGGGATGGGAGTGGGGAAAAGAGCTCCACGGTGACGGGGGACTTCAACAGCATAAAGAACAGACTGCTGGGAGAGGGATTAGGGGTTAGGTTCAAGGTTGGCCTTAGGAGTAGGTGTCTCTCTCCCCGACTCCAGAATATCAGCTCTACTACCTCTCTCTCTTCCTCTGTTGGAGCTAATGACCAATTATAGCTTCACCATTATAGCTTCACTCCTGTGGATCTTGAAGGCTTTTCCATCTTAAAGAGTTCCTTTTTGAAATGCAAATATTTGTGAGATGGATTATACCTTATACCATCATAAGCAAGTTACATAGTAGATACACAGTTGAGCAAGAAAGACAGTAGAGTAGGCACTGGCAGTGGGACAGCGTTCAATGAAAGGTACTGGGAGAGAAGAAAGAAGCACTGAAAGAAGAGCTGAGAAGGCAAAGAGAAACTTCGCCTACTTCTTGACTGTGCCTAGGGCTGACTTTGGCCATGCCACTCAAAATCACCTTACGAGCCACAGGATGCAGACCCCTGATTTACACAGTCCATCCAGCAAGTATGACCAGCACATGCCTGACAAGAAATGAGCCACAGTACACAAATGAAAAAAGTTTTGGCTATACAGTAATAAAATCAGGAAAGGCCTTAGGAAAGTCATCAACATACAAGGGCTTAAGCAGATTTATCCCCAGTCAGAACGTGGACAGACTCACACCTGCCCTGTGAACTCTGTGTTATTATCAGGTTTTTACTCTATGTCTCTTGCAACACAATTTGACGCACTGTGAATTGGAAACCATGTAGTGAGAAACTGTTATAATGGGGTTCTAGTGAGTATTAGAGATTAGCAGCTATTAAGTCTAGGAACAGATAAAGTTACTGAGTAAAATGCTTAGTTTGTACCTGAAGTATATCCAGGACCGCGTCTGCCGTGCCCCCTATTTCTGTAAGGTCTACTACCTCGACCCATTCCTTGACCATCATCAGTCACATAGCCTTTTTCCTTATCTGTACGATTTGGTGGTGGTCTAGAACTAGCTCCAATCTGTCGCAATTGCTCATCAATTTGTAATCTCTCCAAACGCAACTGGTCTACTTCCTATTTAAAATATACAAGATAACAGTAAAAATAGTTTGACATTTTACTTAAAAATACCTTTCTCCTTTTCATCAGATAAAAAGTATACTGGAAATATTTCAATTTCAGTTCTAAATTTATAGTAAACACTGTTACACAGAATTATCAGGAAATTGAATGGTCTCCTTAAAAATAAAATTACTATAGATAACATATTATTGATGTCCAGAATTAGAGATATAACAAAAATAATGAGCATTAAAATTATACTGATAGAATTTAAAGTTATTTAATTTGGCACTATTATCCGATAGATCTGCTAAGGCACAAATATGCTAGTTTTTGGACCTCTTGATAATAGGATATTGAATAAAACAACTCTAAAAGGTATGAATACAGATAAATGACATTTAAGGTTTAACCAGCTAACCTTAAAAATCACACATTGTAAATAATCTTAATTGAAGTAGATTTGCCACTTAATATCTTAATTAATAAAACATTGAGTCTGGGCCATCTTCTGCTTTCACAGAACATATACTATGGCAGGTCTTTGGACGTGACTATACAATTAAGAAACAATTATCTTCGATGAACTGAAAATGTTTATATTCCTTATATAGGGGAACTATTTAATAGTTGACAAAAACAAGTTGGGAATCTTAAATCATGCCTTGAAAACCTCTTAAAGACTACAACTCTGCTAGAACAAGTATGACGAACAGTATAGTCAGTTGATCAAAATATACACCTGGGGTCCATTAACAGGCCCTCACACACAATGCTTCCGATATGTTGGGTTCTGTCAAATCCAGATGAAGTCTCAATTCTAACCCTTCTTCCAATCTACCCATAAGCATCTATTTACTAGCTATAGGGAACTGGATCCACAACTAGAGTAGCACTGGGTGTCTCAGTCAAGCAGACGCCGTCATAGGGACCGTCCACATGAACAGTCACTGGGGAAGCCTCTGTAAAGCTAGGTTCCTAAAATCTTGGTTATGGCAGCCTCAGGAAAAGGGCAGGTAAGAATCTAGATGAGCTTCATCTGTGCTCTGAACCAGAATTTGTTTTACAGAGGACTTGAACAAAGAAGAGACTGCAGCTGAGTGAGTGGCTTACTCCAAAAGTACAGTTAGAGCTCATGGAATGGGTGTATCTTGCAAAACAGAATGGTAGTCCAGGTTATCCCACTGGGGCAAAGCAGTCACCTTTTGGTGAGAGATGCCAAGCCCACTCGAGGGAAGATCTGGTGATGGAAAGAATGGCAACAACAGGACAGCTGCTGATAACCAAAAAAGATACTCAATTGTGAAGAATAAATCAAAAGATCTAAGGAAGAACGTTAGTCAAAAGAACAAGGGACTGATACAATGCAACCCTAACTCTCCAGGTCTTCAAAATTATTTAAGCTAAGAATATGAAGAAAAACACATACAACAGATTACACATAAAACACACTTTAAAACAAAAGTGAATAAGCAAATCAATGGGGTATCCCATCCATGCAAACCTTGCTGGATGAAACCTCCCCACTTGCAATTATTAACTGACCACCATAAGAATAAGAAGTGCCTAGCTATTGTATTTTTCTCCCTTGTTTACATATAACTATAAATTATTTAATTTTATTTCTTTAAGAAATCAGCAAAAAAATTCTTATTAAGACAGCATCATAAATAAAATAGAAACTTGGATTACTTTAAAAATACTATTTAGTACCAGTTACAATATATTTTTGATACATATGGATACAAAGAAGAAATTATAAAAGTGACATGGGTGAAATTCTATTTTATCGAATTACAGAACATTTGGCCAAAAGAAATTTTAAAAAGCACCTAGTCTAGGGAGGTGATTTGCCTATAGACACAGAGCTAGTTCACGGCAGAAGAGAGACCACAAGCAAATCACTGGATTGCCAATCCAGTGCTCTTTCTGCTACGCCTTGCAGCCTCCTGGTTCCTGCTTTCCAGTTTGTAAGCTAGAGGAGGCATAACCGTACAAATACTAACTAAAATGTGCATTTATAAAATGACACAAATTGTTTCTATTTTGTAATAACAGAGTATAGAGAAAATTACGAAGGGTAAACATTTAAACAGAGGACTTCATGAAACTCTGGGATTTCCTTGATAAATGACATAAAAGGGACAACAAAGGCAAGTGTTACAGACACGAAATTTGTCCTGGAAAAAACTCACAAGGGCTAGAAAGGATCAATGGGATGAAATGTATTTTTGACAGGATTGTCTAAAGTGAGTATAAGGGTTTAACAGAAGAATAATGGGAAATAGGGGAGTTTCTTGAGAACTGGGATACTGGTCCTTAAATTTATAATGATGGAAAACTGACTTGTGTTTTTAGAAGGAATATAATAAGCTAAACGAAATGAACATTTTTTTCTATTATCTTTTACAGGTCTTTGATTATCATGTACAGGCTAGTATGAAACTTAATCGCTTTAAGATTTACTATGGAGTTTTTATATTTTAGTGCAAAAGGTTTCAACATTAAAGTTCTTCCTGTCCTCACCTTTAAATAGTTCAGGTGATAATCCAGAAGAACAGTGGCATTAGCGATGCTGTCTTTTGTTCCCACAAAAACAAATGGTACCATACCCTGAAAAAGAAATGGCAACAATAATCCTATAAAATTAATGATGAATTAATCTGAAAAATGCAAATAATGACTAAATCCCTAGCACAGGGTCTGACAAACATGAAAGTTTGTTGAAAATATAAACCAATACCTAAAAACAAAAGTAGTTGGTATATTTTACCCATCTACTGTGTATAAGGACAGATCAGTATAGCAACCCTTAAATGCATCAGGTTACTATGATATAAACACTAATAATAAATGTTGGTAAACTCATAAATTATGTAACTCAAAATTATATAAGCTTTAACATGAGAAGCATAAACAAAACGAATACTTTAAAATACTCTAATTCATTTACTACAGATTTTATCTAGATCAAATTCTTCAAAAAATAATTCAAAATTAGATACCAGGGTACAAAAGTAGAAACTAAATCAACTTTGCTAGCCGAGTCAACAGAGTAAAACAAAACACAAACAAGAAGAATAAGAAATTAAAATGCACTTAGTAATTATTTTGTGAGGGGAAAAAAAAACTAGGCACATCCATGAGCATAAAATTTAGCATTTCAATATACTTCCATAATGAGCTCTGAACATAGTAAAGGACTGAATCATCAGGAAAGTTTGATCTCTCTATGGTACTACTTTAATATAAGGATAGATTTTTAAAAAGGAGTAGACTAAAAATGTATACTTCTAGCCCATCAGTACAAATGAGAAAAAAACTATTTCTTGTCACAGTTATAGGGAAGCCTAGGCCAGTTGTGCAAACTAACAGCTGGCAATTATGACATTCAAAGTTAAGAATAATTCAATATTCGGCTACTGATGAAATTCACATGGTTACTGATATTCACAAGTGACTAAAGAAAAGCACACAGGAGCTTTGATGTAGATACATTAGAGTTCTCTAGGTGAAGTTTCTAGGTGTGAGAAGCCAAGAAGCTTACAAGTATCACCCTTTTAAAAAGAGCATTCAGGGCTTCCCTGGTGGCCCGGTGGTTGAGAGTCCGCCGGCCAATGCCTGTCCCCATAAAAAAAAAAAAAAAAAGAGCATTCATTTGATAGGTGTGGGTACCGCTGGGCTGCTTTTGTTTGCTTGCGCTCAGTACACAGAGTCTTACATGCATGTGGGGTTGAAATAGGTTTTTTCTTTTTCCTTCCACATGAACATGGCTGTTGATAGGGTACAAAACTAAACAATTAGGAAATACTGCTTGCAGACTGACATCCATCTGGTAAGCAAGGCACTGCTTCCTAGTAACAACAACCACCTAACGAATCAGGTGCCATTGAAAACCCATGGGCTTCATATGGATTTTTTTTTTGATTGAATAATATATGAACTATGGAAACAATCAGGCCTATGACTCAGATCTCTTTTTCTCAAAAACATTTCTGACGGTTGAGTTTTTCCCCCAACTTTGTTACAAAGCAGTTAACCATATTATTTTCCAAAATGCCCTATGATGAAATGCTACGCCCTTCCCCCTGGATCACATATGACCAAAATAAGCTTGAAAACCCTATGTCACAGATTTAGTTGATCAACTGTGGAGCAAATAATGAAAAAAAATTCTCTTTCAACATTTCCAAACTGTTGATGTACCCAAGTGCCACTCTAATTTAAGCACATTACTAGTGAACCAGAATGGTTAAATTACGACAAAGAAAGGCAAGAGCAGACACCAGGAAAAAGTTATTTCCTGTTCTGGGATGAGAACTGGCCTGCCCAGCAGAGAGGAATATCCAATCCACTTACGGTTATATTTCTTTTTACAAAATGGCATTTTTGCTTTTAATCTCTTGTGAGTCATAATATTCTCCCCATAAACAGTTCTCACAGGCCAGGTTGAGGGCGGGTGTCTGCCCTCAAGGAACTAACAATGTGACTAGATAACTAGTAAATATCTATGTAGTAAGCACTACGATAGGGGCGAACACATCGGAGCATGAAAGGGGGAAAGGCTCTTGAGCCCGTCACGGGGAGGGGACCTATGGAAAGTATACAAGGAAAGCTGCACAAGGAGTAAGGTCAAAGCAAGGTGGCAGGTTGGAGGAAAAAGAGTGCTCCAGGCAGAGGAAACGTGCATATGTCTAGAAGCAACAGAGAGCAGAGTAGGTACTCTAGGTACTTCAGGTATGGCTCAAGCCTCTCTCAAGTACAAGGGAGAGGAGTGGTAAGACATGATATTGGTCAGGGGACTGTGAAAGAAAGGCCCTTATTATAAGCAACAGGAAGGAATATGAGCTTTTTCCCAGGGCAATGGGTCCACGAACCCACAGACACTCCTCCACATCCCCCAACTCTGACGATCATTTGTAGTCTTTCTTAACCAGGGGAATAAACATTAAAATATAAAATTAAAATGTACTTTTCAAGGAATGTTTTCCTACCTGCCAAGCCTTGAGTTCAGGTTTCTGGGATTCCCCTGCTACAATTGATGAAACCACTAACACCTAAAGCAGTATAAGGAATGCAAGTGATGTCATTAACTATAACAAACGATACACAGAAGCCTGAACGCAGGACTTTCACTGCAGGACTTCTAAATCCATTTCTAAACCATTAGGTTAGTTCAAATATTGAAAGTCAGTTTTAAAAATATGGTTTTAAGTAGTAACTTATGCATCTAACAGAGGGTACATTTTGAGCTACTACAACCTGTAAAATTTCAAGAGCTACAGCATGAAAAAATAAAAGTCCACCCTTAAAAGAAAAATGTGACCACTGAATGCAACCCTGTATTTTATGTTTACAGCATAAGATTTGTCACTGCGAATAAACTGAAAAGTAGTTATCACTTTGGTTTGTAATATCTCATAAGCTGGCAATCAGATTTGAAACAAATATAGCATGAGTAGCCTTATGAGCCTAACCACAGAAAATACCCAAAACACCAACTGTAACATTTGGGCTGAAGAAATTACTTTTAGTATAATTCAAAGTGACCATTATTTCTTACCCTCTGGACTTTTGTGCTGTTAGGCTGAGAAAAATGAGTGCTGTTTTCCTTTACATCTATATGCTTTTTTTCTTCTGAAGGAGTAGGTCCAACCCTTGAGTTACTGGAAGGTAGGGAATTTGGTGGCATAATTTCCTTGGTGAAAAACACAAAACACAAAAGAGAAAAAAAAGGACCAATTTCTAAGACTTTATTTAGCTCCATTATTGTTATCAATGATCATATTTTTAAGAACAGAAACTATTATAAACAGTCTTGGTAAACAAACTTACAGAATGCAAACATTATGCAGTAAAAACGCACAAAGATTTAACTTCAGCTAAAAGAACCTTGACAAAAGACTATGAAATATATGAAAATTATGGCAATTTGAAAGGATTTTAATTTAAACAGTACCATTGTACAGAAGAGCACGCCCTTACCCCCCCACCCCAAATACTTTAAAAAATGTAAAGCACACAAAATAAGCAGACACACAAAGTAAAAAAGCCAAAGGATGAAAGCCAGAAAACCTAACTAGTGTCCCAATTTTGTCTCTGTCAGGAACATTAAGTAATATGTGAAGAGTGCTTCAGACTTTTTTTTTTACATTTGTGATTACTCATGTTGAAGATCAAGAGATAAGGCTTAAAGGGGTTAAAGTTACTAATCCACAATCACAGCATTAGAGAATAAACAGAGGCCGTTACCTACAACTGCAATTAACTGGAATGCCTGATAGACTTTTTACATTCACATTATGTGCGTATTGGAGGCCTCTGAGTTACTATGTCAAATAAGACAATAAAAGACTTTTACTTTTATTAGAGAAACCAGAAACATACGCACTAGAAACATACCTCTTCTTGTGGAACATTTTTCTCATTTTCAGCTTCAATTCTCACCCTCACAACTCCTGACTTGTCCACAATCTCCTGAATCAGTTTTCCATTTTTTCCTATTACTTTGCCTAAGGTAAGAAATGAATAATTCATGTTTGGTTTTAAAAACACATACCTCAAACCAGTAAGCACACCCCACCATAAACTATCACATTTTATATATACGTATAAAATTTCATATAATTTCAATTCTTTCTTTCTTCCTCCGTATCTGTCTGTCTGTCTATCTATCTCAAAACCAAAACAGAGACTCTTTTCAAAAAGACAGAGTCAAACTGGCTTTCCATTTTATGAGGTCATCATCGTTCAAACTCCTTTGGTCAGGTATTAGAGTTGATTAATACTTGTGAACTGATAATACTTGTGAACTGACACGGGCAATTTTGAATTTTTAAGGCAGTTCAAAGATAGGCTCTTATTTGGCATAAAAGGGCATATTTTAAATGTTCAGGTATAGTGGCGTGTATCATTCTTTCTGTAAAGTTCTATAAAAGGAATTAAGGAAAAGGACAGATAGTAGAAAATACATTCGCTTCTTTCTTTGACAATTTCAATTCTATCTGTACCTGATTTAAATCTGCTTCTTTGCCCATGGCAAATATTTTTAGAATTTTATATGGCATATTTATAAAAGGTACTCTAAGTTTAAAAGTGGCTTAAGCAGCTATACGTACATCTAGAAGTACACATTCTTCAGGCCAATGCCTGAAGTTAGTGGACTACTACTCTTGCGCATTACTCACAAATTATATTAGTATGTTAGAAGGTAAAGGGATTAGTCAGAGTAAAAGATTAAGAAATCACACTTTTAACTTAAAACCACAATGGAAAAGCTTAAAACCAATTCAAGATTAAGTTTTATCAGTATCATCTGTTAAAACTCCAAAGACTTCCAATACCAGTAATGAATGGGCACTCGATTCTCTCTCATTTTATAAAATTTAATCATATACTTAACTGGGAAATGACTGCTTCCACAGCCATCATCATGCATTAGTGTAAAGCAAGACATTACAAATATTAAGAACAACTGATTCTAGAAATCTACATGTGAATTACATCTGATTCCAAGGGCTCTCCCAAGGTTCTTAAAGCACCCAGCACTGGCCACGCCCATCATGTGCTTGCCCCACCATTTCACCTGAGGTAGGGATGGGGGAAAAACTGGAATCGAAAATTTGCTGAGCCAATCCTAAATAAGAATGCAGGGAAAGCCCTGTCAAAGCACGACCTTGTGGTTCTTCTAATCAGCATAGCCTTGGCACTCTTGCTGTGTGTGCCAGCCTCACTCACCCCCATAACCTCTTTTGACTGGTCATAACCTGCATGACTGGTCAGTGGTCAGGGAAAAGAACTGACACCACTAAATCAGGACTCCTGATTTAGGTCTTTCTGTCAATTATTTCAGCTCTTCTTCCCTTCAAATGAAAAGGGGTGGAGGGAGGAGAGAGTCTTCCCATGGTTTTTTTTCTTTATGTCTACAACTTATTAGACCAATTCACTGTCAAAGTGGGTGAAAAACAAGCAAATTTTTAGAAAAGAAAGATAAATCAGTGTACGTATCAAAGAGAGTTTGTGGGAAATAAGAGAGATCATAAGTCATATTGTGGGACATGAAAACTCATACAATACTTATTAGGTATCTCCCTATAGATCTGCCTTGGCAAATTTTATACAAAAACGCTTTCTGAAAACTCCCAACATTCCCAGTGCTGGAAGAGACAGCCTCTAAAACAGAACTGTCTTATTTTACTAGGTAGGAAGAAAATGAAAATCAGGCTTTCTGGTGAAAGGTCACTGCTGGGATCCTCTTCTGTTTAGGTAAGACCACAGGTAGAATCTACTTTTAATAGCAAATAATCCAATTCTACATTACATAGTTATTTCCAATTCCCAACTGACAGCTTACTATAATTCTGCTCTACCAAACTGGAATTGTTTTGAATAGGGGGAGGAAAGAGAACTACATTTACAGAGTCCCCTACTATATCCAGAGCTTATGTAATTATATCTTTATCTATAACTATCTATCTATATCTTCCTATTTAATTATCACAATCCTATACGGTAGACACTATGATCCCATTTGTTTTAGAGGTGAGGAAAGTAGACTCAAGGAGGCTAAGTCAGTTGCCCAAGGCCAAATAGCGACCAAAAAGTGAAGTAGAGCTGAAATCTGGATCCAACACCTACACCCAAGACCTTTCTCTGTCATCAAGCCATCTCCAAAATGAACTTCCGTGAATCTGACACATAAGTTTTTATTCAGTAATTTTTGAAAAAACTGTCTAATGGTTATATTTTCTAAGAATTTCTAAATTTAAAATAACTTTTCTAACTATAAAATGTATGCAATTGCTTGACAAACTGTAAATAAGAGGAAAATAAATATCATTCACAACCCCACTTATCCTGAGGTAACCAGGATGGTGCTAATCACACATTTCCCATACACACAACTGGTGTGCAAGTTACCTCAATAACATTACATAGTCATGCTCTTCAGCTGTCTGTAGTATATAGTTGAGAAAATAATTCTGCATTATTTCACTAGTATTTTATACTTCATCTTCAAACTAATTGTCTGGGAGAAAAATACTATTCCAAGTGTTTTTTAATGGCATAGGAAGATGTTTATAATTCTATGCTGACAAAAAGAGCAGGCTAAGTAGAACTGAAAGTACGTGGAAAAAAATGCATAGAAAGTCCTTATCTTCTCCTTTAAACATTCCAAAGGGCATGCATTACTTTTTATAATCAGTCATGATATCAAGTTAAAAAAATTTTTTAAATGTATAGGCAGTGTGTCCCAATTTTATTTATAAATTTAAAACATATGTAGTATTCTTGATAAAACTGCACTTTGTTGATATGTTCTACTAAAGATAAAGAGTTCCCATGTATTTGCTGGTACTCATGATTGGGGATGATCATGAAACAACTCAAGTCAAAATGAAGAATTACAGTTGATGTTGCAGAAAGCCCTAGAGACATTTAGAATTACTTCTAGCTTTGGAACTTATTAGATTTAAGTAACCTATATTCAGATCTTCAACTCTGAGATAATGAAGAGTGCTATCATTTTATAGCCCCATTAGAGAGATCAAATACCAGTCTATTCCAAATTATAAAAAGCCCCCAAATGTCATTAATTTTGAAAAAAACATATTTAAGATATAAATACGTATAGTGAAGAGGCTGTGCAAAATTTATCCTTCCAGGAACCAGTAGGTTTGAACTAGCAAAGCAGTATCTTTTGCACACCTTCTGAAAATGTAATCTTTGAGTGTATTTACCAAATATTTTTTATACACTGTAGCAACAGACTATTTCAAAGAATAAGCTTCAGCTAAATGACTCCCCAAGTGAGTGAAAATGGAATTCTATCGGTATAAATAAACTGTTTACCTAACTTTTGTTTTTGTAGTGTGTGTCAAAAGCAATTGCCGACTCACCTACTAAGTTCCTTGGAACTTGTATGACATCTTCAGCAAATTCCAGAAAACTTCGAGCCTTTTTCACTGCATCCTGATCCTAATAAAAATGGGGAAAAGATTTAAATCAACAAAAGATGAGCCAGCTAAAATACTATTTTTTATTTTAGAAAAACACTATTTAGTAAAATATTTACCTCCCCATAAATATGAAATGTGCAGGTATCTTCATCTAGATCGATAGCAGTGACCCCAGGTACCTTTCTAGCTTGCTGAATATTAGCACCATGAGTACCAATAGCTAGACCCATCAGATCTTCTCGTACGATAAACTGTTCATGAAACCTTGAGGCAAGTTGCCTTGAACTCTGAAGAGAAACACACATCTGATTAGTATGCTTTATCGACTATTAAGACAACTGTATTTAGGTCAGCCATGTAAATTATCTTGACCCTGTATATCAGGGACCTATAAATCAGTTTCACTTGGAAAAGCTCAGCGGCCACGGCTCACAGGCCCAGCCGCTACGCGGCTCACGGGCCCAGCCGCTACGCGGCATGTGGGATCCTCCCAGACCGGGGCACGAACCCGTATCCCCTGCATCGGCAGGCGGACTCTCAACCACTGCGCCACCAGGGAGGCCCCTAAGTACTTTTTAGGTCACTAAAGGTCTATGCCATTTGATATATTTTTGTTAACAGGAAAGGGCTTGTTGACAATTTTCCAAGGTAACTTTTGCAAACCTATTTGCAAAGCTGCCTTCATTAACCAATGACATCAGTGTAATACTTAAGAAGCAGATCAAATGTTCCCAAATAAAAACCAGCTCACTGGGTCTGACAGACTCAATATTAATTAAGTAAAAAAAAAAATTTAAATACCATCTTTACAGAAAATTGTATTCATTTCATTTTTTAATTCATTTTCATTGGAGTATGGTTGCTTTCGTGTGTGTGTGTGTGTGCATACATTTTTTTTTCTAGAAACAGTGCCATTTACATAACTTATCACTAGATACTGTGGGCCTAGATAGTCCTCTGATGAAGTGATGACATTAGAAGGACACCCTCCCATCCCAACCCTGAGTAAATGAATCATAAAAATTTTGATATAGTAATTAAATTGAATGATCACAGAGTATCAAAGACTTACAGCTTATCTTACATATGTGCCTGCAACCTAAAATGAGATCAGAGTCTGTAAGACCTTGTGATCTGGATCCACAAGTAAGATGAATTCTTTCAAATATTCAGTGATGACTGAACTAGGTTATACTGACACCTCAAACTTGTGGATAATCACTCTCTTTAGACAGTATTATCAAAATTTAATGTTTAGTTCTAGCATGCCATTAATGAAAACCAAACATATTAGTGGCTCATGTTGAAAAATGGAAATTTCGTATCTGAATATGTGGATCTCTTTAATATTAGTAGTGAGAAAAGACAGGCATGCACGCTAGTTTCTCATTATTCAACATACCTGATAATTTGAATGAATGAGTGTAACTACTATAAACAATTTAAAAAGTATAAAATCCTTTTTTGTAGATTAGAGCAACAAAATGTATCAAATAATCCTAGGACTTTTCAAGAGGTCATGTTTTTTGAGTTCTGGTTCATTCACCTGGTTCATTCTTTTCAATTGATAATTCACTGATAAATGATAAGCCAAAGGTATGATAACAGACCATTTAAGAAGAATTAGATGTTTAAGAAGAGGTAAATGAGTATATTTCCACAATACTCACAATGAAAGTAAGGAGGCTGTTCTGGCCTAAAAGGTATGAGAGAATCACTAAAGAAACCACAAACTTGTGAACACAGGGTCATCAAGAAAGAATGAGAGTAAAAACCAATTAAATAGACCTCCATATGGCCGTAAGGAAAACAAAGTAGCAAAAGGAGATATGAATGTCTCCTCTCCTGCTAAGAGTTCAGCGATCACATATTAAGTTGGACGGTGGCACGTTTCACAGGGTTTTACAAGAATACAGCCTTTAGTAGTAGTCCCCTTCTCTCTTAAAATGCAGTTTGGAACTCCTTTTTTTCTTTACTATTTCAACTGCATGGTGTTTTCCCTCTAACGAAATGGATAATGATGAGGAACTCTGGAATCTGACAATAATATACTTCAGTTGGCACATTAAACTAAGATCCATTTAGTTTCTATGGTAATGGATGAAAGTACTAAATAGTTATCAATGAAAATAAATGTATGGTGATGGAAATTATTGGAGGATTAATAAAAGTAGATAAAATGCACCTTAAGAGACGAAATAGTAAGTTAGGGAAATAGCCTCTGGCAGGAATCTGAAGACAGGAGTTTTAAAGAGTGACAACCAATTAGAATGAAGAAGTTCTATACCCTTTTAAACAGAGATAAACATACATAATGAAAGGAATATGATTAGATATTTAAATACTCTCTAGTACTTTAATGATAACATGTTATATGGAAGAAGCATTGCTTCATTTTATTAGCAGCTTTGATGAACTTCTAGTAAAAAGTGAGTTGGCCAGAAGTTCCTTAGCATACATAAACTGCTGCTTAATTCTGAAACCTCAGGCATAAAAATTTTAGTACGATTATGCACTGTACAATTTACTTTTTCAAAATATAGAATATAAGGAATTGCTAAGAAACAATAAATAAAGGACAAGCTGCCCATATTCAAGTTTTGTAAACACACAGTTATTTCTAGATAATCTTACAACCATCCCTAGGGAAAGCCACATACCTCTAGCTGCTTACTGGCTTCTTCATTTCTCAGTATCAGAGACAGCTTTGTGCGCAGACTCCGAAAGTGCATGTCAATCAGCATGTGTGCACGCTTTGAGGTGACTTCATTGATAGACTAAAGGATATAAATCAACATCATTATTATCAAAGCAAATGCCCTAAATGAAATACACCAAAAATAGACAACTCAAACACACTCACCAAAATGACAAGCTGATAGTTTTCTGCATCATAAGTTACAGAAAAGGCACCAACTGCCTTTTTAAAGTCCTTATGTGCCGATTCTTTGGCACACCTAGAAATAAAAACAATATCCACTGTGAAGTTCAGATGACTGATTACCAACTACTGGTACAAATATATACAGAGACATCTGCACTTAGGAGAACTGTAGATTCATATTAAACTTGATTTATGCCAAATATGCTATATCCATTTAACAGTTTAGTTCCTTTGCTGTACATTTCTGATATACTCAGGCCAATCAAGCATATGAGATTACAGAGAAAGGAAAAAACCAGTTATGTTCTTAGGGGATTACTGGTGGTCTTAGATGACTAGAGGTGACATCTTCAGGGGAACCACTCTCCCCTGCAGGGTTCCTGATTTCAGTTACATGTGGTAGGTCACTAATTTTCTTGAGTCAACTGTTGAACACTTTTGGGGATAGCTACAGGATACCCAACTTTGTTTTGCTGTTTCTTTTCTAAAGAAAAAGTGCTGACCAATTTAAGGGAGAGAAGGAAATGTATAAGAATCAGAAGGCACAAACATACATATGCAATCTCTATAATCAAGAAGCAGGATTTGTGTATTGTGAAATACAAGTTACTGTTTATCTAAGGTGTGACATGTCCAAATCAAACTTAATACACGCCCTTGATGAAATCTTTAAAAAGGAATTTCTTCTCTAAAACGTCTTTAAGCATTACTTCAGATCAAGGATTATAAGAGAGATGACCTTTTGAAGCTTCTTTAAGCTCTACTTGTTACATATTTATCTGAAAATACTAGCTAAAAGGGAAAAAACCTGGACAAATCTCCATTGCCTAGAAATTGACTTGTGACTTAGGACAGAATATCTGTATTAACCAGTTTCAAAATCTTAAAATTATATGAACAATGTGTATTTTAGAAAACAAATGTACATTAGCCATGTATGTAACCAATTAAGTTTAAACAAGTGGAATGTTGGCTTGATTATATAACTGGAAAAAGCTAAATATGTTTTTTTCACTACTTTTGCAAACCATTTTTGCCAAAGTTCACTGAATTTAAAAATTGATTTCTATTATTTGAAAACTTATATTCTTTTAAATTAATTGCATAGCACCTCTAAGTTCTCAGCCTTTCTTGCATACCAACTTACATTTGTCGTAAGTCTTCTGGCACGTCCAGTTTGATTTTATGGAAAGTATCTTTTGTGGCAGGTTTGTTGGGATTAACTGATCGTAAACGTTCAATTGTGACAATTTCATTGTATGTAGCATCACATGCTGCATATTCTATCACATAAAACTGTGAGAAATAAATGAAAGTCATTCCTGGTCACAGTGTTTAAAGTAAGAACAAGAAGCTATACCTATTCAGTTGTTTTTCAATTCTCTAGAGGAAAAAAAACTATTTGATCAACTAACAAACACACGAAATATACTGAACATGTAAACATTTAAATAAAATGCTCAAGTTAGATATTACTTTCAAATAGAAATCCAGACTGAAATGTAGTATACCTGGCTTTAGAAAAGGGAAATCGCATAAGAAAAAAAATTTAAATAGGCATTTTCCTACCTCACCCTTTATCATCCTCACTTTAGCTAACCACCAACAGCAAGGCTCTTTTTCATTTGCTCTGGAATAAACCTACACAAAAATTACAACATAGAATATTTCATGATTAACATCATGCAGAAATCTATAAATTATCAGACATCAAGGAAAATTTCTTAAAATGACCTTAGGTGTCTTTCAAGCCCATAAGCTGTAGACTTTAAGCCAGATTGCACCCCTACTTCTAGACATAGACACACACTCAGAAACTACCTGATTACCTGGGAGAGTCCTGTAAAAAGTGCTTTCCTATTTCTCTATGCTGCCTCAGTAATAATCAGTAATCTGAATATGAATGCTCAAGAAAAGATGACCATTCATAAACCTGGGAATACTTTCCTTGGGTACTTTGAGAGCTATGAAAATGTATCTAAAAAATGTAAAGACAGATTTGTTTTTGTTTTACTCTAATAAGCAAATAACAAATTGGAAGTTACTGACCCTGGCCTACTTCCTGGCTGCATGGTCACTGAACGGGTAAGGCCGCTGACTACTCAGCTCACTAAGGATACCACCTGGCATTCACGTATCCTGGGAACTAAACGGACAGATCCTTGGTCACTCTCTGGTCTCCTGTCCCCTCTCCGCTAAAATGGACAACTCCACGCTGGCAATCCTCTGGATACCACGTTCCTGCTCTCACACACTGTGGATCAGTTCTTCTAAACTGATCTCTCTGGCGACCACTTCACAGTTCACTTATGATGTGCAGCACGGAACCTTTTGTGAAGACACTAGCAAATCAAGGTTAATAGGAAAAGAGACACATGGAGAGAGAGACAGAAATACTCAGAAGCAGAAAGACAACACAGGGAGGACGAGGAGGATGGGGAGGAGAGGACGGGAGAGAAGACCGGCAACTCAAGGCTCCGACTCTCGTCTCCCTTTTACTACTGAAGTTAATAGTTACACAACACAGAGATGAAATACAACTGAACTCAACCTCCTTTCCCTCTTGCCCCCAACACTTCCTCTCACCTCTGCTCTAGCCAGAGAAATAACCTCAGTTATTTGTTAATTGTTATGTAACACAATGAGGTCATCCTGGCAACTGTGGTTCATTGGTTCCCATCTGTTGTGTGACTAAGTTGGGAAAAAAGTCCCCTCTATTCATCACTATTATGAGCGTTCATGGTACAGACAGACCAAAAGACCTAAGTTAATGGTTATACAATACAGTGACTCAGTACAACTTGATTTAACCTACATTTCTCTCTTGCGACCATCAATTCCTTTCAGCTCTGCGCTAGCTAGAGCGACAACCTCAGTTAGTGAGGTCACTGTAGCAACAGCATCTCACTGGTTACCACCTGCCATGTGACTCAGTTGAGAGGGGAAAAAAAGAAAAAACAGTCCCCTTTATCCATCCAAACACTATTAAGAGGCGTTCTGATATAGACAGACCAAAAGTCCTGGTCCTTGACTTCAGGAAGCTCGTAGTCTCCTGGGGAAGTGAGCGGCTAAAGGTCCTCAAGTACAGACACTGCTTGTGCTCCCTACTGGGATCCGTCACAAAACCAAGCCCAGTTCCTTTCACCTAGTAAGTACTGAGTACATTTTTGGTAAATAAATAGCACTTTATTCTATTTCCACTATAAAGCTGTAGAGAAAGGAACACAGGCCTGGACATCTAGAGACCTTATCTGAGCACTCTCTAAAATAGCACTCCTGCCCCTACATCACCTTTCATCCTCTTTTTCTCTTCCTAGGACTTACAACTGCCATAATATTAGCTATCCTCACTGGAATGTGACCTTGTCAAGGCTGGGGCCTCTTCTGTTTCACTGACCATCTGTACCTAGCACAGGAAATAAGAATTCAAGGACCTAGTACACCTTACCTAACCTGTACAAATGGATTCTTAGCTGCTTCCATCATACCACAAATGCTCATGAAATCGCAACTCTTAACAAGGCATCGTGGAGAAGAGAAGAAGCTTAAAATGGAGTACATGAACAGGGAGGAAGAAAAGGATACTATATAGACCAACTACAACATAAAGCAGACTCCAAGTGCCTTAAGTGTCACAACAATTTTCAGTGGCTAGAGAAATCACAAATATAATGTTTTTGTCAATGTGCTACATCTCCATAGCACTTTTTGGTCAGACATCAATGGCACATAAGCAGTTGGTTCATAGCATCTCCTGTGAAAATATGTTTTACCTGTATGTGTATATACTAAAACTCGCAGATGAGTTTTTACAAATATCCCAGGAGGATTTTCTGCTACTTAAAGCAAGCCTAGGATGCTGCTCTATCGTTAAGGAATGATTTTTTCCTAACCCATTTTACTTAAAATGGGGACACAGTTGTAAACTAACAATATATTATTCAAACAAAAGATTCAGAGAATGAGGGAAGGGGGAAAAGAAATGCTAGTGGGCAAAGGAAATCAGTGGTGACTTTCAAAGCTGCACCCTGAGTGCTGCTCAGGCAGCCACACTTAAGCATCCATAATGTATTATTTCCAATCATTATTAAGATGGAGCAGTCAAAAGCACATATACATCAGAGCTATAATTCTCAATGCAGATTGAAAAGTGTTAAAGACAAGGGATACAAAAGGCACAGGCAAAGTAAATGCTCCCCCTTCTTCAGTGCTTAATAACTTGATGGCAGGGGAAACTTACCTCAACTTCATCGCTTTCATTTATATCTTTATTATAACCTACAGGTGGTGGGAATCTCACATCATGGAATGGAATCTGCCTCTCTGGCTGCCAGCTGCAAATAAGCAAATGCAATTATTTAACATGTTTTTTGGCTTAATGGAAACAATGACCATGCTGCCATCAACTTTTGGTTAAGTGTGACCCTTTGGTTTTCTAGTTTAAAGAAGCAAATGCTTTAAAACTGTCAGTGTTCTGCTGAGTGGGGCATAATGGCAATATAGACACATTTCAACAAACTCTGCATGCAGCACAGCAGCCTTGTAGTTCTATTTGGAATATTTCTCTAAACACAACAGATCAACATGACAATTTTCCAAACAAGTCTTTCTTCCAATAATTTCAACCTCTAAGAGTTCTAAACTTAGGGCCACAACAGCAATTTCCTTTGATGCTTAAATACGTTAGTATCGGTAAGTGTTAGTAACATCATCACCATACTTCCACTTGCAAAGGAATTGTAACCACATTCCGATGACCACAGAAACTGGTCCTAAATGCCCTCTAATTCCCAAGCAAAATGGGGCAGTCGTCAGCACATTAGCAATTCACAACTCACTTTTCCCCCTTTAAATTTTAGATCCCACGAGGTGGTCAGTTCTTGCCATGGATAGCTGGCTGCTGATCAGTATGACGTACCAGCATGTACTGGCCTGGTGGGGTCTCCTAAACCACAGAAACCCGATGGAGACAGCCTATAGGAGTTCAGTGAGTTGCCTATGTTTTTTAACTTAAAGTTATGTGGAACAATTTTGAAAAACACCAAATTATTCTTTTATATCTACAATGATATAGAATATTAAAAGATAAACTTTGCAGAAACACTGGAGGATTCAACTGCTAGAGCAGTCACTTCTGGGTTTTCTGCTAAAGGGCTCTCTAAGTAAAATCCTACTGAGAAAAGTGCTTTTTTTTTTTTTTTTTAAGAAGAGCTATTATATAAGATAGCAGGGTAGGTAAGTCAAAATTTGTGGAAATATGATTAGGGCCTATATTACACTGAACCCCTTTTCTGTATTATTATACACCCTTGAAAACTCTGAAACTTAAAAAAAAATTGTCTTTAGGGAATTCCCTGGTGGTCCAGTGGTTAGGACTCGGTGCTCTCACTGCCAGGGCCCCGAGTTCAATCCCTGGTCAGGGAACTAAGATCCCACAAGCTGTGCAACGTGGCCAAACAAAGAAAAAAAAAGTCTTTACTTCAGAAAAACGTTTTAATATACTTACTGAATTCAATGACTTAACATGTTAAAGATTCATTGCTAAATTTGATTTGTAAAGCATATAGTAATGAAGTTTCTTCATTCCAAAGAATTATTTTGTCTTAAGTATAGAGATAAAAATCAAATTTTTTATTCAAAAAATACGAAATATGGAAGGCAAAAAGAAAGCATCGAAAATAATGTGGTATTATAGGAGTTTCTTTATGATTGAAAGGAAAGAAAGGGTAAATATAGTCTGAAGTTTTACAAAACATCAGGTTTGTTTTTTGTTTTAAAAAACCAGAAAAACAAAAAGGAAACGCAAGGAAAGTACTACTTTGGTAGGGACCTATCAAATCCTGGTGACATGCTCAAACCCAGTGTTGAATCTCATACATACTACACAAACACAAGGAAAAAGTTGATCTATTTCAAATTCCCAGGATGACAGCTAGAAGAGAAACTTGTACACAGCTACGGTACAGCAGACAATTAGGAGGTCCATAGAAAGAATAATTTTAAGTTTATAGTAGAAATCTGGTTGAAAACAAATGAGAACTGATCTATCACTGCATAAACAAATACAGAAACATTCTTGAATGCATAGAGGAAATAAGTGTTTGCTTAATACCTTAGATTAAGGACTATAGGAGAAACTAAAAGAGTAGCAAATAAAGATAACTCTCCCTTTATGGGAAACAGTGTTTACCTAGTGATGGAAGCAAGCAGATAAGAGTATAAGTACAAGAAAAAAATTACTCTCCAAGTTATCAAAGATTCCTCTGTTAGAGGTGTGATGCTGTTATCTAGTGTATAATGCATGGATAATCATGCAGAGGCACATTCTGAAACTTTTGGCTCTATGTATTCAGAGAAAGGTATTCTATTATCCAAACTTGTATTTGGGACCAAGACTATTTGTCTAGAGCTGAGAACTGGGCTGGATACTCTAAATCCTATTACCTGTCTCCCTAAATGCATTTTAGGCATCCGAGAAAACTACAGTTGACCCTTGAATAACTCGGAGGTTAGGGATGCTGACCCTCTGTGTAGTCAAAAATGCACGGATAACTTATAGTCAGCTCTCCGTAGCCACAGTTCCTCCATATCTGTGGTTTGCATGACGATTTAACCAACCCTGGATCGTGCACTACTGTAGTATTTACTACTGAAAAAAATCCACATATAAGTGGTCCTACACAGTTCAAACTCATGTTGTTCAAGGGTCAACTGTACTTTGCCCTGCTGGCAGCTACAAGATTCTGCTAACATTCTAATTATAGCACGTCTGGGTCAGATACTGTATTTTAACAGATTTATTGAGATATAATTCACATAACCATATAAGCATCCACTGAAGTGTATGTACAAGTCAATGGGTTTAAGTATATTCCCAGATATGTGCAACCATTACCAGTCAATTTTAGAAAATTTTCATCACTTAAAAAGAAATCCCATACTCTTTAGCTATGGCTCTCCATCCCCCACCAGCCACTAAGCAACCACTAATTTATTTCTTCTCTCTGTAGACTCGCAATCTGCTTTTGATACACTGTTAATTTCTCTTGGTAAATAAAAGTCAAACATTATCATTGTTGGCCAGACTTCAGAGTTCAGTAAAATCCTAAGATCATGACCACATCTATACTCTGGTTAAGGAGTTTATATGTACTTTATATTCTTGAATGGCTACTCTGAAAATAGCCGTTATTAGCATTAAAAAAATTTAGTCAAGAGACCTGTCTCCCCCAATAAAATGCTAACATCTATACTATTGATGCCTTTGTATAGCTAATGTTCCTAGGCCTCTAAGTATTTTTATTTACTCACCTAGCAGAAGAAAGCAGAAAAGATCAGTTACTGCTATTAATGATTATAAACATATGAAACAGATAAAAATGTTAATGGGCAAACACAATTATTTCCAATAAAATATACCAGATGACTAAAATCATCAATTTTAGATTTAACATTACAAAACTCACATCGACTTTCCCAGTACCCGTGAATCCATTCATTTTCGTCTGTTAACATTTACAAATATTTCTATTCAAACCCTCAGTTACTAATACAGAAGAATCTGGTTTCTTTCTTCACATTCAAGGGGACTGAGATGTAAGGATCAAGATTATACAAAAGGGATCTCTGAGGTCATTAGCAGGAACAGTCATTCCATTGGTTTAATATTGAGTTGTTCATGAACTTCCTGGTCAGTAACATGAAGATCCATTCCTGAAAAACACTCAAACTACACTTGAATTTTTTAAAATGAGGAGTAAAAGGAAAAATTAGCATAAAATATTAAAGAACCTAAATATTAAAATTATATCAAGACTTACTTGTTTTCAAATGCCACTGTTATTGAATCTTCATGAACATCTTTTACAAATGCCTATAAGAAAAAATACACCACAGTTAAATTAACTTCTAAGCTTAAACATCATTTTTGTTTTCAGTTACACTTTACAGAAACCAAACATTTTATGTTTAACAACAGAATGAAGCTTCAAGTGAAAGCTTGTCAGTTTGTGAGGATCACTCATTCACGAATCACATCTATATTTAGATACCTACTATGTGCTGGGCCCTAGGAATACTCATTAGTTAAAATAAAACACAAAGAATTGCTCCAGAGTTCAGCATCTCATAGGACAAAGACAGACAAGTAAATTGAAAATTACAATGCAAAGCTGAAGGTATACTTCAGGCTAGAAGTACTGGAAACTAAGAAACTTGTTCCAGAGCTATATAACAGTCAGTGTAGATCTGCTGTAACCTATCTTTTTCTCCTTAATACAATTTTAGGAGAATACAATAGTAAATAACTAAATATAATCTCAAATCTATATATGCACAAGTACACTAAATTCTCTTTAAAAGCAATGTGCTGCTAATACCACTAAAAGTCCAATTACCAGAGTTTAATTAAATTCTCAATCTCGCAGGCACTTGGCAAAAAAGAAATAGTAATATAAAGTACAGAGGTTTAAATCTTTTAAATCTGCTAATAATCTGCAGAAGGACATAACAAAAGTAATAGCTAACTAATTATCAAGAATTCTTTAATCAGCATGCTGTCCGTAATTCTATAAAATTAAGTTTTTAATAGGTGCAGGAAAGGAGGTTTTGTTTTTGTTTTGACAATTAGAGGAGTAGGATAAAGCATAAAGAAACCCAAGGGGCTTTATATCTTAATTCATTTTAAAATGGCTTTAGAGATTTAAGCTTCTTACTCCAATGTGTTCTGTACATGTTTCTGTCCTTTCGTGGTTTCTCCCTGTCTGCAGGATTATGGTCAAACTCCTCTGCCTGAAAAAGGCCCTTTGTGACCTGGCCCCACTGCTCACCACTCCAAGCTTCATCTTTCACATCCTTGTAGGCTGTGATCCAGCAGTGCTAAACTACTTGGGCCTCTCTGTACATGCTGCTGTTCCTTCTTTCCTATTGTCCTTCCCCTCTTTTCACCTAGCTATCTCCTACTGGTCTTTTACAATTCAGTTCAGATGTCAGCTGCTATGGGAAAACCCAGAAGACTCAGTTAAATTCCATCCTCTACATTCTTATAGCATCTTCTGAGTATCCTCACTATAAACTTATCCCACTATAGTCTTTTGCCCAATTTCCTACCAACAGTAAGCTTCCTGAGGGTGGGCGATATAGGCCTTTTTTATTTACTGTTGAACTTCAGAGTACCTATTAAGGGCTCAATGAATAGTTATTATCATGGATCATTGCCTAAGGGGTTCTTGAACTTCAGAGTACCTATTAAGGGTTCAATGAATAGTTATTATCATGGATCACTGCCTAAGGGGTTCCTATCCTAGCCTCGGAGAAAAGGTATGTGGGTGGTGGGGTGGTAGTATGTTGGTCAGGAAAGACAAACAGAAGAGGACGAGGTTCCTATCCAACTTAGGGAGTGGAGGATGGGGAGGCCCAGCAGGCCTAATGGGCAGCAGGAGCAAAGGCTTAGACCTGGAGCAACAGCTTGGGGTGCGGTAGAAGTAAATCCTTTGTGGACAAGGAAGCCAAGACAATTCAATGGGGGTAAAAGAACAGTTTTCAACAAATGGTGCTGGGACAACTGGATATCCACATGCAAAAGAATAAATGCAAAGCTATGCTAGAAGACAGTTTCCTTGTAAGATCAAGGTGGACTATAATGGAATCTAGGTGTTCTGCGATACTCAAAATGGCTAAATTATTATTTCTAAATTAAGCATGTATGTGTATCTTTATAGTTGCTGGTTTAAAGTGGGGGGAAAATCCACATTTTCTTCCTATCATTTTGATCTTGCTTATTTTTCCTTAGCCATATTTAAATCACACCCATTCTCTTCAGAGTATTTCAAGAACTCTAGTTTAATACTGACCATGATATTTTAGAATATACTAGATTTTATAAGAGCACATGCCCCCAGTGCTCTCAGGGGTTTGCCTATTACTTCAGCAACAGAAAGGCTTGATTTTGACTTAAAGTTGGAGGAATTCGACGTTTAGTTCTATAAAGTAAGTCCCACAAATTACGGAGAAAGGAAAAACAGACCCCCCCACCCCAACTTCTCCCTTGTGTTTACATGATGGCAAATACCAAATTAACAATCTGCCTTTTGAGGGTGGGACTCCTATTAGGAGCTAATCCCTTATTTACCAAAAAACGTCTTTGCTCTGTCTCCATCCTTGTCTAAAATTTTATGTTTGCATGTCTTGGCAGTAACTAGTATTAGTTCTTTACTGTATATTATATGCTGAAAATGTTAAGTCCTTTAGTCAGCTAAGAGAACCTTGTTACAGCTGGGTGAAGAACTGTTCTCACTAAATCAGGTACCTTTCCAACACTACTGCCCTTGTCTAAAACCGTGCTGTTGCTCACCATAGAAGCTGCTGGTCATATGTACATATTTCGATTTAATTAAGTACAGTTAAATAAAATTAAAAATCAGTCTGAGTCACACTTGCCACATTTCAAGTGCTCAAAAGCCACACAGGGCTCAGTACCTACTGCAGAGGACAGCGCAGGTAGAGACCATCATCACAGAAAGTTCCACTGGATAGCACTGATTTAAAACATTTACAAATGTTGGGGACTGTTTTCAAATTCACCTTGAAAGCACTCTAAAAGTTAGTCTCATTACTTCATTGCTCTATTTTAATTTTTTTCTATTTGCCAAAAAGTTATTGTACAGTTTAATCACACTCATTCACCACATTTGCCTATTTCCTAAAATTAAACGTCCCTTCAAAGGAGGAAGATCTGCAACTGTGTGACTATTAAAAACCAAAAAAACAAAAAACAAAAAACAAAAAAAAAGCTTCCAAGTTTTCAAAGACACTAAAAGCAATTCCGGATGTACAGTGTCAAAAATGGTTTGAGTAATCATCACAGCTTACGGCGGCCACCGCCTCGAGTTACTGAGGCTTACCTGTATATGGATGTTGGCGTGACTGTTCCCAAACCAGTCATTTTTAGCCACTGTTTACATATTATGTGAATACAGAAGGCATGGAATACCTTCTTGTTGCTGCTGTAATAAGGGGAATAAAAGAAACTCAGAGGTTGCAAAGGTCTCCTCTGACTCCTGAGGCCTTTTGCTAAAATTCCAACAAAGGTCCCATCTTTCTGCTTCTCATCATTACTTTCTCCAATAACCCTCCTTTTCGGCCCTGCCCCTGCCTTACCCCAACACTCATACCCTTCCCTTCCCTGGCCACCCCAGAGCATTATCACCCCACCCACCAACAACTGGGAAAACTATGTTTTGTTGTGCTCTCTACCTATCTACATCAAGCAAAGTTGACGAGAAGATAGGTTCAGCGGATTCCTGAGGGGTTCGTTACCAAAGAAGGCAACTGAATGGGTTTGAATGAATACAAGAAGGGAGCTGCATGGGACTGGATGAGAGCCAGGGCTCTTACAAGGGTCAGTAAACTTAGTGGTTAAGAGTTTTGCTGTGAATGAGAGATAGGTTCAAAATCTTGGATCTAAGACATAACAGCTGTGGGACTCTCCAAGAAATGGTCTCTGGGCCTCAGATGCCTTGTCTGTGTAAGTAAGGAATGGATACAGGGGAACGGGACTTGCCTCCTAAAGCTGTTGTGAATAATGAAATCACACATGTCTAGTGCCTAGCACGATGGCTGGCACATAGTTGGCACTAAATAAATGAGAGGTAAAGCAGAGAGGGGCATATTTTATAAAAGATGCAGAACCATAAACACTCTTGCATCTGAGAAAGTTACATCTCAACAAAAGCACACTTAAAAAAAGATTTAAAAATTAGGATAGAAAGAGAAAAGGCTGCTTTCTCAAAGATACTAAATACTAAAAGGTTATTTAGACTTTCAGAAGAAAAAGTGATGAAAATCTTTGGGGTTTGAGAAAGGTGCTAAAAGTGCAGTTAAAGACAGACACAGTGGGACTTCCCTGGTGGGGCAGTGGTTAAGAATCCGCCTGCCAATGCAGGGGACACAGGTTCAATCCCGGGTCTGGGAAGATCCCACATGCCGCGGAGCAACTAAGCCTGTGCACCACAACTACTGAGCCTGCACTCTAGAGCCCAAGAACCACAACTGCTGAGCCCATGCGCCACAACTACTGAAGCCCACATGCCTAGAGCCCGTGCTCCCCAACAAGAGAAGCCACCGCAATGAGAAGCCCACACACAGCAATGAAGAGTAGAGAAAGCCCATGTGCAGCAACAAAGACCCAACACACCAAAAATAAATAAATAAATGAAAAAAGGAAAAAAAAAAAGACAGACACAGGCTCCTTATCAGGGGGAATAAACAGAAAATCAAAAAATCATTATGGGATCCCCCACCTGGCAACTGGGCCAAAGAGGCAATCATAAAATCATACTAACCAAAGTGTGTAATGACTAGAGATATCTAAGTCAAACATTACATCACCAGGATTGCTGAAACTAAAAGAAAGTCTGTCCCTATTTGGGTGAAGTCTTACTCTCCCTCTACACCTCACACCTTAGATTGTACAGAGAAATTTCAATGTAAGCCCCTGACCACCAATGAACACAACCACTACATTATCACTGAAGACAGCACATGTAGTGCATTGATAATTCTCATTAGAGAAAACTTAAAAGCATTGCAAAATATCCCTCCTAAAGAAAATCTGTAGGAGATAGACAATAAGGACATATGAAATGTGATAAAATACGATTCAAACCCAAGGCTTCACATATAAAGCAAGTTATTGCTTTGCCGCCCTTTGAATGTGGGAACAATGTATGAGAATGAACAATGGGAAGGGAAAAGTACAATAAAAAAGTACAATTCTTCCAACCACAGTGCATGACTAGGAATACTTGCCTTCACTTGGGCATTTACCACAAATTCTGAGAAAAATGCATCCTTTCTGGTTCACCTTGACGCAAAGACAACACACAGGTATAGAGAGAATAGTATTAAATGAGTTATTTATTTTCCTGTGTGTATGTATTCTAACTTTTGAATGCTTCAGTTCTTATGTGTTCCCAATGTAACAAAAGCAAACTTCATAGGAGCATTAAAGATTTCTAACTTTATCTTTCATTAATAGGCATTCATATGAAGAATTACAGTGTAATGTGTCAAGGTGCAAGAGTTAATAAAAAGGAAGCTAATACATAAGCTCAATATTTTGTGATGTCTTTGTATCAATGGTAATATCCTTGCAACTGTACTTACAAAATAATGCTAAGGCATTATTACAGTAACAAATACAAAGTTACAATGAAATTTACAAAAATGGGCGGGAAATCAAATCCAATTCATTTCTTTAAGTTAAATTTCATCATTTCAGGAAGTCAGATTACCTGATCTCAAAGCCCAGATCTGACCCTTACTAGCTCTGACACTTAGTAATAACTCACTTACCTCATCTCTCTGTACATCTATGTCCTCATCTATAAAATGGGAATAACAATGGTAACTAAGGGTTGTGGGAGGTGATTAAACAAATTAAGAGAGGTAAAGCACCTTGAACCCTGCCTGGCACCTCAAGAGCTCTCAGCACCTGTTAACAGTTAAAATCATGATTGTAGTCATCTCAGGAAGCACATTCCCATAGTGGGCAGGAATCAGAAAGCCAATTCTTATACCACTGAATTTTACATTTAATTAATAATTTGGAGGTTTTCAGAGTGTGTGAGTATGAAGTTGGAAAACGCTCAACTCAAAAGGGGAGTACTGATGCTTCCATAAAGATACTAAACACTAAAAAGGTTATTTAGACTGGGAAGAAAAAAACATGTGGTTGACCTGAACAATTTACTTCCTTGAAGTACAGAAGACTTCCGAGAAAATGTGAAGAAAATTTTCATTACATGACTTTTTCTAAGTCAAAGAAATACCTAAGCACAAAAGTAGTGGCTCTGAGTTACTAAATCCAACTTTTGAATTTTTAAGAATGAACAACAGAGGGAAAAATAGAAATGAGCTGTTACAATCTTAGGGTTTAGGTTTCATGGTTCTGGTAATTCTGAATCCTAAGTTTGAGTTAATTTTTTAGAGGAAAAAACCCAACTGTTCCCAGCATATACTCTACCCAATTTATACTGCAAATTTGGACCGTGTGCTCAGAAGACGGAGAACTGTACCTTACAATATGGTGGCTCTGTTAGGCAAATCAAAGTCTGAATTCAATTATACTGAAGCTGTTTGAGTTGTTTAGTTCTTTAAGCCTTTTCAATCAATCTGATGAACCCAGGTTCCCAATTTTTTCATAAACGTAACATTTCTCCATAATAGTTCATTTTTTATTCATCTTTATTTCCCATCTTTTCTGCCCATCCCACTGGACAAGTAACTCAGTTTACTTTTGCTTTACTTTTATAACTCACATCAATATTGAGCCCTATAAGAATTTAAACCTTTTTCATTATAGAAACTATTTTTCTACCAATACAGATCATTTGAGGTTTTCTTAAAAACAAAACTTTAACTAAATAAACATAACAGCAATTTCTCTGCACACATTTGTTCATGTTTAATATTTCCCCTCAAGGAACTAAGGGACAACCCATTCCTTTTATTCACCTTCAAATTAAGCAACTTCGTTAAAAAACAAAAATAGGGGGAGATTAACAGCAGAGATAGAGGGCCTTTCTTATATTCCAATCAGTTTGCAAGCAAAATCACAGAAGCAAATCACAGGTTGCTCGAACAGAACAATATATCCTTCAAGACCACGATGTACTACTTGCCCTCTGTAGCAAGCAAACTCCACTAAAAGACAGTAAGAGTGGCATCTAATCTAAGCTAATATCAGAGATCTATTAGAATACCGCTCAACCATTAGCCCCTGCTCATATTTATTACAGTTAGTGCCCCAAATCTAGTGAGCAAAACTACCAATCTAGGAAGCAGAACGATTCTACACAAACTAACCAGCAGAATTATGGATCACTGAAAAAAATGCAACCAGAATTTTGACTGCATCATTTTGCTAAAAGTACGGAACAGTTTACATACTTTACTCACTCATTAAATATATTGATCTCCAAATATCTCCATAAAATTGGTAAACACATATATAGTTAAGTCAATGTTTATTTTCCTATATACCTCGTTTGAAACGTTTACGTAATCCTATACAGATTTAAGAATTGCATTTGGACAATGGCAATATTTAATTCCCATGCTTCCTTCTATATGCACCTTCTGTCGCCAAGATTACTGTAGTAAGGTGGGACATTACTTACAGAAGTTATAGAGAGACATTCAAGAGGAAATGAGAACTTATAGACTGCTAGATCTACAGCAAGTATGGACCAAGAGATGCACTACCAACATATGAAAATATTTTTAAGCCTCCTTTTGAAAATGTAAGATATTAGTAAGATCTGCAGTGGTGTAACTTAAAAAAAGAAAAGCCCGCAGCAAAACCATGCATGCCTATTTAAAACCTCAACAATACAGTTCACTGCAACATTACACAGAGGAGATAGTCAAGCCCTTGGAGCACAGAACAATTATTTCCACTCACTTAAAAAAATTCCCCAATAATGATACACTTAATTTCCTGAAGTTTCATGGCATATATCCAGGCCTTTGGAGGGTTAATTTGTTTTCTTAAGTAGCAGAGTTTCCAATGTTTTTAGACGCTGAAGCATCTGTATTCCTGAATTTGCCCACATTTATAACAAGGGAGGAGGGGCCACAAATATTCAAGATTACCAACTTCTTTAAACCATTACTCGGATATGTCTGGGTCTTCCTGAAACTTTTGAATCCAAAATCTTTTCTGAAATCCACAAAGGCAGGCCACTAATAATCAGTTGCCATTGTGATTTGGTACCGACTACAGCTTCTTACTACTCTTTCTTCACACCGCTCGCCCAGAACAGTGGAGCTCTCCGAAGTCCCAACGCTGGACAGGAAAAGAGAAGCCAAAGGAGATGGCAAACCCTCTTTGCAAGGCAGGAGGCGGCTTGACGGAAGCGCCCCCCGCTCCTCGGCAACTACCCACACGTCAGGCCCGGATCCCACTGGGAGAGGATATTTAAGAAAACAGAAATAAGCCGTCACCGTCACTTCGCGCGGATACCGGCCCTTCCCGCCCGGATCTCCTACCTGCCGTCGGCCCTCGCCCATCCCCAGCTCTCCCTGCCGGGGCTCGGTCCCCGAAAGGGCACCCTCTTTTCCTTGCCCGCTTCTCATTCCGACAGGCGCCGGGGCCTCATACAGGAGAGGCAGCGGGGCTCAAGGGGCTTCCTACAGGCCCGAAGTCCGGTCCTTCCTTCCCTCCCAAACAACATCCCGCCGAGCGCGCCCTGCCTCCGGGCGCGGCGTTCGGGAAGAGGGCCCCAGGCCTGCCTCCGGCCGAGGCTAAGAAGAAAAGGGAGGGAAAGAAGGGCGAAGATGGGGCCTGCCCTGGAGTCAAGTACCTTGTAGAAAGCGCCATTGGAGCCCCGCACTTCCACCACCAGCTCCTCCATCTTCTCGTCCGCCCTGCTCGCTCCGGGAGCCCGCCCCTGAGAGGTGGGCTGCGGGCGCTCGAGGCCCAGCCGCCGCTGCCGCCGCGCTGCTGCACGCCCCCCGGCAGCGGCGCCGCAGTCACCGCCGCCGCCTGCGCTCGCCGTCGGCTAACCGCCCGCTCCAAGGCGGCCCCTCACCGGAAGTGAAACCGAAACGGAGCTGAGCGCCTGACTGAGGCCGAAAGCTCCGGCCGCTCCGCGTGTAAACAGTGAAACCGCATCACATGACCGACGCCGCCTCTTCCCCCAGGGTTCGGCCCCTCGGCCCCGCCCTCCTTCCCCTCGCGGGCCCAGAAGCGCGCGCCTGCGCGCTGCTGGGGAAGGACCGGGGGGCCGGACCCAACGTAAGGCGCGCGGGCTCGGCGTGCGCGGGCTCGGCGGCGGGCGGGAAGGCGGGAAGGGTGGAGACAGGTCGCACCGCTTCGCGTCGCCTGGCGAGGCCCAGAGCGCCTGATCCTTTAGCGGGGGCAAGCCGAGGCGTGGGAAAGGGCCTCGCGTAGCAAACTAGTGTGTTCACTTCTCCAAGTCCGGGCTGGCTTAGGTTGGAGGTGTTTTTGTTTTTGTTTTTGTTTTTTTTAAAGTGGGGCAGAGCCTAATTGAGCTGGAGGTGGAGTGGGGGACAAGAATGAAGGTGAAGAATTAGATTGAAGAAGACTTTGAACTAGTGACAGTGGCAACCGCGGTGACTCAGGCTTGTGTGACCCTTAGAGGCTGAAGGTGAGAGTAACGCCCTCCCTTCCCCAAGAGATTTTGGGCCGTCCTGTGGATGCATTCTGTGTCCTCGGAGGGGCAGTGGAGTGTGTCAGGACCTCTGGAAGTGTTAGTCCTTCCACAGACCCAGCACTGACCCACATACTTCCCTTTTCTCGATTCAGTTTCATACTTTGACTTGACATATATGTAAAAAAGAAAATGTGTTTAAACACTTGTTAATTTCTTTACAGTTTATTTCCCTACTATTTCACGCCTACTGTATGCCCACCGTGCACCAGAGGCGACCTGTCTACAAGGGCCTGGGCACCTGTTTTCTTGCAGCTCTTTC